ATGGCAAGATAGAAAATTTCATATACTTTATGGAATTAACTGGATAATTTTTTAATGCATGGAAAGACGACCAGGAAAGATATAATTTAAAAAGTTATCAGCAGTGATTTTCTTTGAGGGTAGGGTGGGATAGTGGATAACTTTCCCTTTCTCTTTTATGTATTTCTATGCTGTCCATCTTTTGCAGTAGATGGTTTTGGGGTTTGGTTTTGCTCAGGGGAGAGGAGATAGCTTTTATTTTTGCTTCATATCTGTATCACTGAGGGATCTTTTCAAACAGCTTTTCATGTAGTTACTCTCTGGTGAAGGGAAAGCCAATAATAGTCAGCCAGAAGAGCGAAGTATTTGGCAGAGCTTGGAGATGTTCCTGGATGAGGAGCCCTACCCTTGCATCTCTCCAATGCTGGTGCCGTTTTTTTAAATTTTTTAAATTGCCCACCCAAGCTCAGCCCTCCATCCTGGCTACAAGACCCAATCATAGCTCTATGGTGGTCTCATTGTCATCACCATGTTCCCTGAGGTTCTTGGTAAGTTAGTTGCACCCCACCCTATCTTCATCCTCATTAGCAGCTGAGTTCTTTTGTTTCCTTGTGGCATACCCCCCTCCCATCCAGCACCCCACCATTCTCCCAGGGCAACAACTCTACCTCAGTAGGACATCTCCCCAGATTCTTGGGATGAGTGTGGCCTCTGAGTTGGGCTCTCCAAGAAACCACCCTCTAGACCCTGCCATGGGCTGCCAGGGCTTCCTCACTATGTCTGCTCCCTTACTTGCCAAGACAGCAAGCAACTTCCAGCCCTCATGGGCTCTGCCACCCACCTAGTCCTTATTGCCTTCAGCGGAGGCCCTCCTAGCCCGCTCTTGAGCCCTGAATTTGTTTCTGTAAGTTTGTCTCTGGGTCTTACTCACTGCTTAGCAAGCTGCCATTGCCACAGGCATAGCTCCTTACCTGCTTCCCTCTTCCCCAAGGCTTTCATAACCCACTCTAGTGCTTCTGTTCTCTCCAGTGAACTTATTTTGGGTGACTGATTTGAAGAAGTCAAATGCAGTGTCTTTTTGTAAGATGATTGCCCTTTCAGTGTCTACATCCTTGATGGAACACAACCTGAGTCCAGATCCTGCTCTTGTTCAAGAATCTACAAAGTTGTAAATTAATGATGAAGAAGAGCTTTTCAATGTGGTGGGCTCTTGGCCAGGCATTTAACATGGAGAGTCATGTCTAACCATAAAATAACCTCAATGACATGGAAGTTCCATTTTACAGACATTGCTTATGTCAATCCACTTGACCAAAGTTGCAGAGGTGATGCCTGAAAGATGCAGGATTGGAACCCAGGTCAGGGCTCAATCATTAACACAACTTCAAAAGATGTGAACCCTAACTCCAAGGGTCCATGTCCAAGCAGATCATTGTAATAGATCAACAGAGAGATTGTAATAAGGATGACAGAAGAGCTTTGTGTCTCTGCAGTGCAAGAATCACCCTAAAGCACTTAGTTACCTCTCACAGATAGAACATATAACCAATATAGCTTGAGCTCCTGAATTAAAAACATTTATTTTATTTTATTTTTTTTTTATTTTATGTGTATAAATGTGGAGAACTCTTAAAAAACTAAAAATGAATCTACCATATGACCCAGTTATACCACTCCTTGGCATATACCCAAAGGACTCATCCTATTGTAGAGACACTTGTACAACCATGTTTGTTGCTGCTCTTTTCAAAAATATTTAAGAGATGGAAGCAACCTAAGTGTCCTTCAACTGACGAGTGGTTAACAAAAATGTGGTATATTTACACAATGGAGTTTTAATCGGCAGCAAATAAAGATGAAACAATGAAATTTGCAGGTAAATGGATGGATCTAGAAACTGTTATACTAAGTGAAGTAACACAGACTCAGAAAAACAAACGACGCATGTTCTCCCTAATATGTGGATCCTAGCACCAAATCTTTTTAAATTACTTGCACCAAATCCTTTTAAATTCCATTTTGTTTTAATAAGATGAAGGTGTACAGCAGTCTCTTCTATATGAAATAACTACTATCATCACAATTTCAGCTGAGCCTTGTCATTAAATATCATCACAATTGGGCTTGTTGACGGTTGTGCTCATTCAGGTTGTCAAGCAGGGTGCTCATTCATTAAAGGATGGCCAAGCAGGGTCATTGGACCCTCACTGGATTACCCAGCCACTCTTTCCAGCCAACGGTATGTAATTTGGCCCTAATCACACATGGCCTTCTGGATTTGGGGAGGGCTAAAATATAGAATCTGGGGAAGACTAGGAAGAGAAGGCATGACCCATACTGGGTAAAGGATTTCCAGTGTGCAAACCCTCAGGTCATACATATACTTCAGCAACCCCTCAGTTATCTCGGTAAATAAGCTCAATAATTTCATTGGTTCCCCAGTAAAACTTTTATCAAACATTGGCTTGACACTAGAACCTTAAAATGGAATAAACGTTGCTTAGCTTCCCCTGGAAAAGAAGTCTCACAACAGATGGAAAACTTATTTGCTAATGCTATTATGTCTCATAATTATTTTTTAAAAAAAAGAAAACGAGAATGTAAAAGATGTTAAAAGGATATGGGACTGGAGATTATTTTCCAAAAGAGACAGGAAAAATGAGAAAGCCTAAGCAAGTGATGAAGGTCTGTACAGGTTTGTTATGATATATAAAGGATGAGACAAAAATAATATACATATAATCTTAAATTTCCTACGATCATAGTTTAGTCAACTAGTTTAAGGAACAAAATATATATCTAGTCAAGGTTTATCTGAGAATATTTTGTTTTTCACCCAAGATTTATCTACATAGCACATGATAATTAAAAGTACCAGACTGGTGGAACTAACTTACTGGATGTTTAATAGCCATAGTTTGAGGCCTATACTAATGTGGTCAGAGGAGCTTAAAGGACAGTTTTTGCCTCTTGCCCTCCAAGGTCGACTAAGTTCCAGTGGACTATGGAACATCTCTCAAAATGTCCTGTAACTGTGGTGAGTCACCTGTCCTCTTGTTCAGGGAGGACATGGAGACCCCACGAGATGGACTTGAACCAGTGTCCAGTCTACAAAGAGAAAGGTCAACTCAGAGGAAACATCTCATTCATGCTTCCACGTGAAGCCAGACATGATTGATCAGGACCTTTTGACTTATCTTCACATAAAAGGAACTGGTAAAAGAAAGGAGCCAGGAGCTCCTCCCTAGCCCAGGTGACCCCTGAGGAATAGATCCTCAAATGACCTTAGGTATAAAAATAAATTGATTTATTTGGGCCAACTGTATGGTCTTAAACACCCAAAAGGAAAGTATAACCAAAGAGTAAAGTCATTAGGCTTTAAGAGATCAAGGGATTACACTTCCCAGACATTAGGCTTAAGTCTATATAAAATTTATTCAGACAATTATTTCTCACCGATGATTTTGTTCCTAACCAGAAAGTGTTGCTCAGATGTAAGACTTCAAATCTTGGTCTCCAATACTGTAGTGCCCACCTGTAGCTAAGGGAGACGACCAGCTATTTTTCTAAAATGATGGATAAATTTGTTTTCTCCTCCTATCTAAAAGCCTTTGAGAGGGAACTGACACTGATTCTAACCACTCCAACAGCTAGCAAATACCTGAAAGCAAATCCTGAATCCATCACTCTCAGAGTCCAGCCTTGGAAGACAAAAGAAAAATGAGGAGGAACCCAATAGAGGGATGCTTTTGGAAGCCCTTGTCAAGAAATCCAATGGACTCTCATATGAACATTTGAAAATTGCCCTGTTCTGACTTTTTTCTAACTCCCTGTCTAGAACTTGTAATGCTAATTACTCTTGCCTTTACTTCTCCTTCACATCTCCTCTTCATGATTCAAGGCCTTTCTTTTCCACTTAGAGATAAGAGTTATGCAATTTGGGAATCTTTTAGATAGACCCACTGAAGGGGTACTCCAATTGCCTCACCCTGCGTTCTTGTTCAGCATGGAAGAAGCCAGAGCAATCTGAGTCTCTATTCCCTATTGGCAATTTGGGTAACCCCTTCAGAGGATGGTGTGATAATAATATATTGCAGGAATTGGCTAGGCAGTTAGAGTAAAAAGACCTCAAAGAAAAGTAGCCAGTTTCTTGTCTAGAAGTCAAAATGTCCTTGGACCTCTTAGCAATATACTCTGTTTCAAAGGCCAAAAATGTCGAAAATATTTGGAAGCCTTTATCTAATCCTCAAAAGATTTTAGGGTTACCTCTTTGAGGGGGGGGATGTTATAGTAGCCAAAAGTGGCTAGGCAGTTAGAGTAAAAAGACCTCAAAGAAAAGTAGCCAGTTTCTTGTCTAGAAGTCAAAATGTCCTTGGACCTCTTAGCAATATACTCTGTTTCAAAGGCCAAAAATGTCGAAAATATTTGGAAGCCTTTATCTAATCCTCAAAAGATTTTAGGGTTACCTCTTTGAGGGGGGGGATGTTATAGTAGCCAAAAGCCCATATTGGAGGGGAGGGAATGAGCATGGATTTGATCAAAACACCTTATATGCATGTATGAAATTCTCAATAAATTATTTATTTAAAATTTTTTAATTTATTTTTATTTTATGTGTATAAGTATTATACCTACATGTATGCAAGGACACCCATGTCATGCAGTGCCCGTGGAGGATAGATGAGGGTATCAGATGCCCTGGAACTGGAGTTATGGACAGTTGTTAGCCACCATGTGGGTGCTGGGATTTGAACCTGGGTCTTCTGCAAGAACAGCCAGTGCTCTTAACCACTGAGCATCTCTCCAGCCCTAAGCTCTTGAATTTTTAAGAGATGCCAACCAATACAAAATTTTAAGGGCACTTTCTGTGCATGCAAATTCAAACCTTTCAAAATCAGCATAGTCCAAATCAACTTTCCTGGTGACCCATTAGCTTACAGCCTCTGCCCAGTGCTCGCCTGTGTGCCTTCCAAGTCTCACTTTTGACATATGTTCTCTCTATAAAAGGACAGGCTGCGTACCTGTACAATCTCCAGCATCTCTGCCTTACTGATGTAGCCATTCCCATCCAGGTCATACATGCTGAAGGCCCACTTCAGCTTCTGTTCCAGCTTGCCCCTCGATGTTACACTCAGGGCTATGATGAATTCTCTGAAGTCTATTGTTCCATCTCCATTTGCGTCAAAGGTACGGAAGACATGCTCTGCAAATTTGGAAGCATCCCCATAAGGGAAAAAGTTCCCGTATATTTTCTTAAACTCTTCCATTGATAAATGTCCACTGGGGCAGTCTCTTAAGAAGCCTTTGTACCATTCCTGGATCTCATGCTCTGTAAAGTCCGTGCTTTCCAGTAGGTCCTGCATGACTTCAGGGCGCAGCTTGCTGTTCTGTTTCCCCATTCTGGTGGCAAGAATTCAACTGCAGAGAGAAAAGAAAATACATATAATTTTTTTTGAGCTGTTCTTCAGGAGGCATATATGATCATCTGGGATTGTTCCTTGGGAAAAAGAAAAAGTAAACAAATTCTACACTAGTCTAGTAACACTATGTAGATTTTGCAATATTGCAGCCAGCCAAACAAAATGCTGGAAAAAGACAGGAGGCCAGTCAAAGACGCAGAAAAGCAATGTTACTAACCAGAACCAACCAGAAAGTAAAAGATGGACAAAAGATGGATGGATAGATGAATGGGTGCACAGGTGGGGGAATGGAAAGAGACAGACAGAAAGATGAATTAGAGAATTAATTCTGGGATTATTAATCTGCAAGAGATCAAGTCTGGCTTTAAGAAGAGTAAATTCTAATTTAAAATCCTACGAGGAGAATTGAAAGAAAGAGGAAAGAGAAACTGAAAGAGAAACCTTAGCATACTTTATTGCCAGTACATTTCTAAGTAAAGTATGGCTCAGGTACTTTTGGACATCAGAAATGAAGGCATGAGGAAAGGACAGAGAAACATACCTGTCTAACATCATAAAATGCTGCCACGCTACTTCAGTTACTTAAGTCCAGGTAAATCACTGGCCACTTTGGGTTTAGATGGTAAAGATGATGCTTCATAAAGTTCTTCATGTCATGATTAGAGCTTATGAAACAGGTCAAATTTAACATTTTTTTTGTTAGTTTATTTCTTGATCTCCCTGTAACCCCAGCTGTCTTGGAGATTACTAATGTAGACCAGGCTGACCTCGATCTCACAGAGATCCATGCCTCCTGAGTGCTGACATTAAAGACATGCACCACCATGCCCAGCTCCAAACTTAACTTCTTAAATTGAAAATAACCTTGCGTTTTCTTATAACAATAGTACACATGTACAGTTGTATAATAAAATACTGCCAGTAATGCATAAAGAAACCCAAATCCTAATACTTGAGATAAGTGCCATTAGCAGTTTGCTGTATATGCTGCCAGATTTTGTGTGTTAATATTTATTTGAATCTGTTATTAATACACAGTTCCCAGATTAAATATTTTTCAACTTGACAGTGGTATAAAACTGAGGCATGTTTAGTGGAAACTGTATTTTGAATTTAAAATTTTGATCATTGTCCAGGCCAGTGAAATTTGGCTCAGTACCCTCTCTGGATGCTGGACAGCATCAGCTGAGCCTTACAGGTCTGTGAGCTACGTGATCATGAGGAGGCAGCTAACACTCTACTGGACTTCTTAAACTGTTTCCACTTGTAACCCCTTTCTTGCCTAAGGAAATTTTATGTACCCCTGGGTATACAAGTATTTAAAATAGATATGCAAATCAAATATTTACTAATAATAAGCCATAAATAAATTTATTTTAAGACAGTTCTTTCATAAACATATACTTTTACCATTTATTAAAGACAACAGCAAATTTGTCTACTAATGAGACAGATATGCTTGTTTGTCTAACACAATCCAATCCAGAGATATACAAGTTTGACACTTATATGTGGAAGGGTGACAGCAGGAAAATATCAAAGGTCTCTGTTTTCTGTAATTAAACCATTAAGTTTTTACAAGAGCAGAAAACTTTGTATGCACAATAGACATACTGCAATTCGTTACATACAGTGGTCTTGAATCTGAGCTGAGCTCTGTCAAAGCATTCACTGGCTTTGTATGGTATGACTGCATGTATGGTACATGGTGTGAAGTGTATATGTTCTGCATTTGGAACCAAGGCTGCAGCAAAGTCATATGATGAAATACAGGCAAGTTGCCAGAAGCACCTCAGGTTCATTATGTGATCGATCTTGAATTAATTTCTGATTGTGTGTTCAGAAACCTTTCACCTGTTGCCAAGTTTTTCATGACCTTCACATAGCCTTATGCAACACCAGGTGGAGTCCTGGCCTACAGTTTAAAAAGCTTTGCTCTACAGTGTGCTCTGTAGCTAAGCTGGGACTGGGTAGGTTAGATATAGTTAATGCATTTTCAACCCCAAATATTTCAACCTACATGACTTTATCAGGACACAGCCTCAACATAAATTAGGGAATATTTAAGCTTTTTAATACGTTTCCATTTTTTAATTTAATTATTTATTATTTTATATGTATGAGTATTATGCCTGTATGTGTGTATGTGTACCTGTGTCCTGCAGTGCCTTTGGAGGCCAGAAGAGGGCATTAGATCTCCTGGAACTGGAGTTACAGACTGCTGTTAGCCACCATATGGTGCTGGGAACTGAACCCAGGTCCTCTACAAGAGCAGCCAGTGCTCTTAACTGCTGGGCCATCTCTCCAGCCCCATGTTTCCATTTTTTAAAGAGGTTTATTGATGTATGTGTGTGCACACATACATACATGTTCAAGTAGGTGCACCTGTGTAAGTGCATGGAGGCTGGAAGAGGGTGTCAGGTGTGTCAGGTGTCCCTCTGTATCCCTTTGAGGGAGGATCTCTCCCAGAACCTAGGGCTCCCATTTTCTTGGCTAGGCTGGAAGCAAGTCCCAGTGATCCTTCTGTCTCCACTCCCCCATTGGAGCTGAGGTGAAGGAATGTACCAGACACCTAGCTTGTTATGTGGAAGCTGGAATCCAAACTCTGGTCCTCATGATTGTGTAGCAACTGCTCTGAGGCATCTGTCCAGCTCCATGTTTCCACTTTTCAAAAACAGAAATTCATGCCCTGTTATTGCCCATTCTTAATATAGTGTGGGGAATGAGGACGGATACTTCGATTAGGTGGGGAAACAGCTGGAAATACCAGATTTCCACTTGGAGAGCCATTTAGTTTTCATTCAGTCTTTGCCTGCCTGAGATGTGAATGAAGGAGTAGGAGGTGACCTCTTCCCTCAGGGCACCCAACCACAGGTCCACAGGGGATGGTGGGGGCAGTGAGGGAAGGGTGGAAACAGGGGTAGAAAGTGAATGCATTGAGGAGCAAAGCTCAAGTGGGCAGATGTCCCTTGGGGGTGATAATGCCTGACTTTGATATAGGATTTGGGGCCATGGTTTAGTGTTCTTGTTTCATTTTTGTTTCTGTGATAAAAATATTCTGAGTAAAAGCAGCTTAGGGGAGAAAAGGGTTTATTTCAGCTTACAGGTTACAGTCTTAGTCGAGGGAAGTCAGGGCAGGAACTCAAGCAGAAACTTGAAGCAAAAACCATGAAGGAAGACTGCGTGCTGACTCACTCACAAGGCCATGCTTAGCTAGCTTTCTTATACAGCTCAGGCTCTCCCACCCGACAGTGAGCTGAGCCCTCAAACATCAATTAACAATCAAGAGCACCCCCCCAAGCCCAGACATGCCTACAATTTGATCTAGGCAATTCCTCTCTCAGATGACTTTAGACTGATAGCTAAATCTAACTAGGATATGTGCTCAGATTACACTCCTTCTCACATTTTACGGAATTTCTAAAAGATAATACAGCCCCATTTTATATCTGACTTCAATGTCCCATGCTGGGATATTTATCAATTACATCTGTCTTTCTCGCTGCAGTCAGCCCTGGAGGCAGTCTCCATGGGAACCACTTTGCTTCTGCAGGCCGACCCCACAGGGTACATGGTGAACTAAGACGGAAGGAGCAAGTGGGGAAAAGACAGGACAGGAGACAGAAAGGTAATTACTACATGGATATACAGGATTCTGTTGGAAGAAGAGACTACCAGAAAGCAGAGGGACTGCTTTTCAAATGCCGTTTGTCACACTAAAAGGCACCAGGTGGTTAAAGGTAAGATTTGTTCTCACAGTCTTTGATATTGAACTGCCTGATGCCCTTACTAAAAAGAAATTCCTACAGGGCACTGTTCACAACTTACAGTGCTCAAATTTTGTTTATGACAACCATAGATCAGTAAGGAAGAGGGAATCCTTGCAAACAGGCTGATTGGTTGATTCTAGCTTTTTAAGAGTTTTTAAGGTTTTTTGTTTGTTTGTTTTTAACTTTTTAAAAATTGAGCTTTTGAAATTTCATACAATATTTCCCATTCACATCCAGACCCCTTTCCCAACCCACCCCTCCCCCTCCTGAACCGAACCCTATGCACTCTGCCACACATGCTGAGTCCTATTCATTCAGGTGTTTGTACCCAAATGTCCTTCAGTGTTAATGCGTCCACTGGAGTCTAGTCAGCCCATCCAGTGGTCGTATGTAAGTCATACTCTCCCTCACCCAACAGCAACCAGTCTCAAATATTGTTTTGTTTTTTGAGACAGTAGTCCTGGTTGGCTTAGAACTTTTCATGTAGACCAGGCTGGCCTCAAACTCACGGAGATCTGCTTGCCTCTGCTTCCCAAGTGCTGGTTTAAAGGCATAGTGCCACCTTGCCTGACCTTTAATAGTTTTATTTTCTTGGATATTGACACATAATAGTTGTATACACATGGCTTTGCGGTGTGATGTTTTTATAGGTGTACATGTTGTGTAATGATCAAATCAGCATATTCATCACCTCAAACTTCAAAGCTCTCTCTCTCTCTCTCTCTCTCTGTGTGTGTGTGTGTGTATGTGTGTGTGTGTGTGTGTGTGTGTGTGTGTGTGTGTGTGTGTAGAGTATTCAGAATCCTTCCTGATAGCTATTTTGAAGCATATAATACATTGTGATAATGATGGGGCAGTAACACCAGAACTCCTCCCATCCAGCTAGAACATTCCTGGGCTCGCTCCTTTGTTGAATCTGAGTTTTGCATTGAAGCTGGAACCTGGTTCTGGTTTGGCTCACACGCAGGCATCCTCTGAATGCTAGAGAGAAGGAGGGCCTTCCTGTCAGCATGACCACAACTGTAAGGAGGCATTGATTTTGGAGGTCCCTCTGATATAGAGTCACCAAACCCCAAATGAAACACAGATAGAATTTATAAACTGAACATTCCAATAATGTTCACTTCCCTCTTGTGTTCATTTGGGTTTTTTTTTTTTTTTTTTTTTCTGAAAGAAAGGAAAAAAAAAAAAAACCTCCCAAAGATAGAGAGTCTGGTTTGTATTAGAA